TTTAAATGAAAGCATGATCTTTGCATGCTGATCAATGGCACTAAAGGTCTTTGCACATTGAGTCCGAAATTCTTGTCAGAAACTTTCGCACTTTAAAAAAAATTATTTCGACCTCACGTTGTGTCAATCACGTTTCCACACTGCCTCTGAAACTCATCCGTCATAAAAAAAATTTGGATCAGGTTCAATTTTCTGCGTTTTCGCATCTGTAGCAAGCATTTTGATAGGAAAGAATTACGAATACAAAAAAACAACGCATATGAACAACGCATACGAAAATTTCGGACTCGGTGTGCAAAGACCTTAAGTCTATTCAGATTCGGACCTGATGTGTTTTATCGAGTGTGAAAAGCAAATACGTAGAAACGTTTATGCATTTAAAAAAAATCATTTATGAAGCATATTTGACATCATAAACATTTGTGTGCAGATTATTTTTCTTTGTTTATTAATGTAAATTGTGATTTTATTGCAGCAGTTCATTAAACTACGGGCTCTGCGTTGAATGCGCCATGCCAACAGAATGTACTGTAAGGAAGTCTGCGTCTGTATTTGATGTTGCATATTCAAGATTAAAGGGATAGTTCACCCAAAAATGAAAATTTGATGTTTATCTGCTTACCCCCAGGGCATCCAAGATGTAGGTGACTGTTTCTTCAGTAGAACACAAACGAAGATTTTTAACTCAAACCGTTGCAGTCTGTCAGTCTTATAATGGAAGTGAATGGGAATCACGGCTTTGAGAGTAAAAAAAAAACACACACAATAGATCTGTCAAAATGGCTGAAAAACTAAATTCGAATTTTGTACTTTAATATTATCAAAATTCGAATTATATTCGAATTTAAAATGCATAATTTCAGTTAGGGTGAAGAAAAGCTTTTTGCTTCTCTCCTGAGGCCACAAGAGGGCGCATCATTCAAAGCATAAGATAACATCACTATCTGGGAAAAAAAGTGCATAATGTTTATAAACCAATTATAATTAAGTTGAATTATAAAACTGCATCATATATGTATGCATAGTTTAATACAAAGGGCAGAAAGCCAATCACACAGAGTACATTTTTCATTTAAAAACATGAGATGCAGTGAGATGGGGAAAAACCCGCCATAAAGTCTCGATATATATTTTTTTCAAAGTTAAACTTGCATTAATTTTACATGGATTTCTAAACACGCGGCTCTTTTGTGCGAGACGCGAGTGCAACAATAATAGATGTCCGTCTAGAAAATGCGTGAAATATGCGTTCTGTGTGAATGGCTTGGTTTCAGTTTTGACGTAAACAACATCATCTCCGCATTGATGTTCTCTTTTTCCGCTATATTTTTAATGGACAATGCAGCAGCGCCGCATCTAGTGGCTTCAACTGGATAAGCTAACAACAACATTATAATGCAGCGACACTTACATCGTCATCGCATCTCGTGCACCGCTGATAAGGCTGCCTCCTTAACGCACACCTAAAATTCGAATGCAACGTTTTTGCATTCGAATGTGAATTTTTATTTTAAATTCGACAAATATTCGAAATTCGATGACGATACATTGATGTGTAAAGACATGAAACGATCTGTCTGTGCAAGAAACTGAACCGTATTTATATCGTTTTTTCACCTCTGATGGTTTGCAATGTCTGAACTGTCCTGAGCGCGTGACGTGTCGTCGTCTTGCTTTACGGCGGATCGCAGACTTGTAAGTGCATTACCGCCACCTATCTCAAATGGACCATTGACACTCTATCTACAATCTCAATTAGGAGTGTCAATGGTCCATTTGAGAGATAGGTGGCGGTAATGCACTTATAAGTCTGCGATCCGCCGTAAAGCAAGAAGACGCGTCACACGCTGTCAAGGACGCGCTCAGGACAGTTCAGACATTGCAGTGCATCAGAGGTAAAAAAACGATATAAATACTGTTCAGTTTCTTGCACAGACCAATCATTTTGTGTCTTTACACATCAATGTATCGTCACGAGCTACAGGGTTTAATTTGGTTTTGTTTGTGTATGTTTTTTTTTTACTTTCAAAGCCGTGATTCTGATTCCCATTCACTTCCATTATAAGACTGACAGACTGCAAAGGTTTGAGTTAAAAATCTTTGTTTGTGTTCTACTGAAGAAACAAAGTCACCTGCATCTTGGATGCACTGGGGGTAAGCAGATAAACGTCAAATTTCATTTTTGGGTGAACTATCCCTTTAAGGCTAAGATATTTAAAATCCTTTGGTTTTGAACTCACTTTTGTTTGTGTATGTTTTTTTTTTACTTTCAAAGCCGTGATTCTGATTCCCATTCACTTCCATTATAAGACTGACAAAGGTTTGAGTTAAAAATCTTTGTTTGTGTTCTACTGAAGAAACAAAGTCACCTGCATCTTGGATGCACTGGGGGTAAGCAGATAAACGTCAAATTTCATTTTTGGGTGAACTATCCCTTTAAGGCTAAGATATTTAAAATCCTTTGGTTTTGAACTCACCCTATACTACGAATGTTGACGTTCCCCCCCCCCCCAAAAGAGGCATCTCCACACAGCTTTGCTTTTTAAATGGAGTATGCAGCCTGTTTATGAATCTTTACCTAAACTAAAAAAGGTACGTGGAAATTTTAGAATGGTCTGTCCAAACTCCAAACCATCCGTATATGTCACATTTTTATGCCGATTTCTTTTCCGACTGGACATAGTTCATTTTATTTGCATGAACATGACAGCTTAGCTTTTAGATTTAGGTTATGCAAAGCAAACACGGGTGTTTTTAATAATGGTCTGTGTATGGTTACTGAGGGCCGTGCTCTTGTTGGTCTGGAGGAGGTTTTTGTGTTTATGAAGGTTAGTGATTTTATAGATGCTGGCTTTGTGTTGCAGAGTGTGTTTCTCTGTTTCCTTCTGGTTAGAGCGGGTGGTGTACAACAATAGCCCCCTTCATCATTACACAGTCGCACTGATTTCTCGCCTCTGCTTTTGAATAATATTATAGGCACGGGCACGGTCCAGGCCACTTGCACTTCAGTGTTCAGTACCACGATAAAAGTACTATACTGTATATTCGGGATGATATTATTGGTGATATCGTGATTATTTTGATTTTCCATGTTATGTGTCTAGTTGTGGTCTCTTGCAACTCGCATTGAAAACGAATTCAGTGTGAACTCCCTTAAAAACATCAATGTAAAATCTAGGGCTGTGCAATATATCGAAATATCGCAAATGTACATATCGCAATATGCATATCGCTACAGCTTGCAAAATTTGGGGCCATGAACAAAAGACAGAGAAAAATCACTCACTGCTCTTACCTAAATAATTTTTGTAGTTTAAATAAGAATCAGTGCATATTGAATTCAAAGAGTAAATACTAAGCAGTTTTTTATTTTTCCTTTTTATTATTCAGTTCCTAAACTCATGTTAAAATGATTACACTAATATTAAAATTAAATTTTTATGTAATGCTCGAGTAAAACGCATACCGTTCACTTTCAGATGTTGTTGTAGGGGTGCTTTCTTATTAGAATCAGAATGAGCTTATTCACCACTTAAGTGTGTGCAAACACAAGGAATTTGTTGTTTTACAGGAACTCTTTGTACATACATACATACAAATAACCATATATATATGACACAATATGGTTATAGAAGTTCACAGAACTGACTCCGCAACAGCCGAGTAAAACGGATTCATCTGAGTATGTGGCACTTTAAGCATTATCGTATCGCATATCGAATATTGCATTATTTAATGAGTTATCGCATATCGCATTTTTCTTCAATATCGCACAGCCCAAGTAAAATCAGTGTTACAGTTGGTATGCTTAATTAGTGTGAGTCAGTTCAAACTGTCTGATTCAAGTATTTGCATCATCACTCAGAATCGTTAACTGTGTCTGCATTGTATTTTCATGTTTTAAAATGTTTAGGGAAAAAGCTACTTTTGTTTTTATTACTAATACATTGCTATATTATTATAAATTAATATAAATGATAAATACATTCTTGTGTTTACTTAGTGAAATAAACATGTCTAGATATTTAAGCCATTTTAGAAGAATAGACTAATATTGATTAGAGATGAAAGATATTTATCATTCACAATGTTACAAAAGATTTTTGTGCATCTCAAAAGCAATGTGTCTTGACACCACTGATATTTGCTAGTTAGTAATGATAAAGATAAATATTCTGCCCTAAAAAGGTGAAACGCAGTAACATCGCAGTTTCAGTGTTTTTTTGTTTATTTTGATTTTGACCATTTTTGACACATTTTTCATGTTCTGCGTTATAGAAGTATAGTAATGTATATTTGAGTTTTTTTTTTTTTTTTTGTGATCAATCAACTGATTTTTTTATATCAGTATTGAGAAACCTACTGAAAAGGTTGGGGACAGTAAGAAGTATTTATTTAGTAAAAGTAATTCATAATTTTATTCAGCTAGGACACATTACATTGTTACAAAAAAATTCTTTAAAGAATCCTGAAAAAAAAGGTATCAGTTTCCACAGAAAAATTAAGCAGCAGACTTCTTTTCAACATAAGAAGTTTTTCTGATTTCTGAAAGATCATGTGACACAAGACTGATGGATTGGTGGCTTTGCATCACAAGTAATCACAATAAATGACAATAAATTAACAATTTTCTATTTTAACATTTTAAAATGTATTTCAAATTGTACAATTTAACTTTTTTTTTATTTATTTTTATCAAATCAATACAGTCTTGGTGAGCAAAAGAGACTTCTTTCAAAAACATAAAATGATAATATTCTTTCAGACCCCAAACTTATCTATGTAATATATTTTTCTCAATCTGCTCCATTTCTTGGACCACTAACCGTATCGCCACAGCTGTTGAACTGCAGGTTAAAAGTTAGATCTCTCTCTCTCTCTCTCGATATCGCTCTCGCTCTCTATCTCGCTCGCTCTCTGTCCCCCTCATTTTCAGTCTCTCTCTTCCAGTTTGCTGTCTCAGTGCCAGTTATTCATCCACAGAGTGAGTCAGGGTGGGAGGGACCGGGAGGCCAGCCGTACCAGTCACACAGTCATTTCTCTAACACACACACACTTATCCTCTGTCTCTTTCCTTCCACTTCTCCTTCTCTTTTGCTGCCCTCTCTCTCTCTGTGTCTCTGCCTCTCCCTCTTTCCACTACCGCTGTCCTGGTTTCTTTCTCTATCAGCAGTGAGGGGCAGACGGCGAAAGAGAAGATAGGAGTCGGGCTGCCGGCACTGATCAGGACTCTCAGAGGAGGCAGGAGTTTATAAGGTGAGACTTTTTCCGTTTGTACTTTTCCTAGTGCTTTCAATTACAATAAAGTGGAGATGTCGCAAACGGCTTATATGGCATGATTCTTCTCTTCCTTTGGTTTATTATTAACTCTAAATGTGTTCCTTTTTTTCGCCGCATGATTCACTCACAGGATGCCTGTTGCTGCAGACGGTGTAACCCCACCCTTACCGTTTGCTCTTCGCCAGCTTCGCTTTGACTTCTTAAAACTTTCCCTTCTGCCCATAAATGGAAGTGTTATTCAGAAGTGAACTTGTTTTGCAATCGTAATTGAGTGATTTGTGCCGTGTCTCTTGCTGTCTAGAGAAGATAAAACCAATTATGAGTTATTAGGGATTTTCTGCTGTCTTTTTCTGCCTGTGGCTTTTGACCTGATGTGTTCTGATCACATGACAGGCGGCCTGAAAGCAGGGTGGTTCCCCGTCTCTGCTAGCAACCGTGTCATTTTACACCTGCCCGCTAATTCTCACAGAGCAGGCTTAAAGGGCCGGATATGGGTTTATGTTTTCCTTATGTTGAGAGATGGAGAGAGCGGGGGGAAGTGTGATTGAGTAAATGAGGACGAGGGACTAGACCTCTCTGATCCTAAACGCTAACATACGGTGATTTAGTTTTGCATTTGAAGAGTTTTGATGAGGGTGCTGTTACCATAAATGGTCGTTGTGTTGGTCTCTGTTTCCTGTCTTATCTCTAGGGACCAGTGCTGTGTTGTGATGTTTAGCTTTGGCTTTGGCTTTCACTGAATGACTAGTTGATTGTAATCTGGTTTTGTTAATTCGTGTTCAGTACAGAATAACAGTGATGTTGCCAGTTGGTCTAGACGTTGAATGACACTGGTCATTTCTAAAGTGAAGTGCTTTCTGGTGAAAGCCTTGAAGAATGTGTCTGGGTCATATTTCTCGCAAAAATCAATTTTTGTCTTAAAAAAATCTATTTTAGTACTACATTTACTGAAGTCTATTTTAGGGGCATTACGATTTTTTTATCATTATTTGCATGACAACTAAGCACTTTTTCTTGAAATTCTCATTACCATAATGTAAAAATCTCATTCCTATTACGGTTATGCTAAAAAAAAAAAATTTATTTTAACAAAACATTTAAGTAAGACAAGGTAAAATATTGTAATGGTAACTTTACTGTAATAAAATAAAAAGCCATTACAGTAACAAGAATTACTAGAGAGAATAATCACTGATTAATAATGTTTAAATTTAATTTGAGTTTACTTTTTTAATGTACTAATTTACTAATTTTTAATGTAAGTTTTTATTTAATTTAATTTATGGAGTAAAATATGAACTGTACATGCCATGGTTTAGTGAGAATAATCTATTCATTATATTTATGTATAATAATAATAACAATACAATATATATATATATACACATATACACACACATTATATTTTGAGTCATTAAAAATAATGTTTTTAGACCCTTTTTTTTTGTAAAACATTTCCAAAGAATTACCTACAGTCATTGCTGCAGATGTTTTTACTCCAGTATTACTGAAAATCTGTATTAGAACTTGTCATTTCTCATAAAGACACATTCACACCTTTCATAGAATTGTGTTTGTGTTCAATATAGTCCTATTAAACTCACTGTTTCTTGTGTAAATTAGAGGTTTGCTAACCCTGAGGTTTACTAACATTGTGGCCACTCATAGTGTTGTCATTATGAAGCATGCACTCCTCCCAAGAACTTGTTTGCACAACGTTTCATCAGGAGAGTCAATCCAGATACAAATACATCCCACTGGGACATAAACACCAATTAGACCCGGCCCAGGCAAAGCTCTTTTGTGTGTCTAGATGTGGCTACCATGAGTTTCCACTGTTGGACTATTTAGTTGCTGAGGCTTATGTTCCATCAGCCATGCCAAAACCTCACAATACATCCACACAGCCATTGACAATCCTGAGACGTCTTACAGATGCCTCTCATATCTTGCAAAATTAGATTACCCCCACACTGGCAACCGTGATCAGACACTGCTTGCATTTCCCCCTATACTGTGGGGTGTGTAAATGTTCAAGCAGGTTTACCATACGTCCAATTTGTCTAATGATTCCTAACGGATTTCTAAATTCCCTAATGTCTAAGTTTGACTTTGTTTTCCTATTGACACACTCTCTACAGTCCTCATACTTCATATGTACATGTATATGCATTGCTTCCAAAGACTATTTCTCTGTAGATCCCCCTTCTCGCACATCACGATTGGTCGATTGTGTACAATGCCTGCATACTATTGGTCAAACTACTTTTCAGCCGTTACGTTCCACAAATATGAAAACAATATGAAGACAAATCCAAAAGCATGACAGAACTTAATGAATCATTATTTGTAGCATGCCTCCCATACAGAAAATCAGCTACTTTTGATATGAAACAAAGTCTCCGCTTTCAAATTCTGTTGGTTTTATTATGCAATTCAAATAATAAATACCGTTTTGGTGCTCTTTGATGTGTCGTGATCGACAGATCGTCTACTGTACAGCGTCTACAGTTACATCACGCAGTAAACATGAATGAACATCATAAGGTATGTTTAAAGAAACAGAACAACTTACTGAAATGTATTTCTCATGTAATCGCTAAATAGTATTTCAACCGCCGAAAGACGTCAACGAAACGGTTTGTAAACAATTTCACGTTACATTTACCTCATAAAAGCAATTCAATGACAATGACCTTGAAAATTTGCTAGAAGAATGAACTCTAGAAAGAAGCATTTTGCTAAATATATGCACTATTACATATTCATTATATATTTACTTAACCTGTTCTTCAGTATTTAATGTATGTTTTAAAAAAATCATAAATTCTTCAAATGTTTATATTTTAACAAACTGGAGTAGAAATGTATTGTATAATAAAAATTTATTAATAACCTTTTAATTATATAATTATATTTTTACTATAAAAAATGTGCAGTTTAAATGTTTGTTTGTAAATCACGTTAATATAGTACTAATTGGTTTTATTGTATAGTTTACAGCATTAGAGAGATTTTCTTTAGTTAATTAACATGTACTGCACCTGATTGCCTGTATTTCCAAATGAATCGATATTGAATTGAGACCAAAATTGAATCGAATCACAAGCTTGTAAATCGAAATTGAATCAAATCTTGAAATTTGTCTCAATACCCAGCCCTAGTCACTTCATGTGTTTTGCACAAGGATGACGATATACTTTGTGTACAGAAACCAGTTGATCGTTAACTGATCTTCCTCATTTGATGAACTGAATGTTCAAGATCTAGCACACCTGGCTGGATGAAAGCTCATTCCGGTGACAAACTCACATTCTGAGATGAGAAACTCTGAAACTGCTGGTTTTTGACTTTTGTGGGAACTTTTTTTGTGGGAACTTCAATGCAAAGTCTAAAAGGAAGGAATATTATGATAAAGGTCGGTCAGTTCACATGCATTTGCGTGTACATTCAATCTGCGTTTTCTTTTGCTGAACTCAGTGTTGCACTAATCTTATCTCAGGTCTTCCGCTCGCAGATCAATATGATGCAGTCATTTAAATTCTTAGATTTTACTCCCAAAGCAAAGGAATGTTATCATCTTTTTACAATCACACCGACTTTAGAAGTGATAGCGACCAGAAAGCGGGTTAACCTGAAGGTCACAGCACATTTTCTATGAACGCCTCCGTGTGTGACGAAACATGGTCCATGATTCCAATCAGCATCTGTAGAAACCCATTAGTCTGTGAACGTTCATGATGGCCTACAGTGGCCTATCACTGCCATCTCAAATGACATCTGTGTGCCCCAATCCAGGGATCTACACAGAGAATATGTGAGAGAACCTGTCTGGGTATGTCAGTTTTCACTCTGAAGCGTTGAAGACATGTTGGGTGCTATTTAAGAGAAGTTTCCACCGTTGCTTTAGAGCAGATGCTGGGCGGCAGGGAGGCAGAACTGTTTGTTCATGTGAGTCCTTGGAAGGTAAAGCATTTATTGACCTTTTATTTATTGTTCCCTCTGGTTGCTAGATGAAGTCTTCCCTTTGGATAAAACTCATTTTTTGGACCAATGAGAGACAGTCGTTCTGTGTATATATGTTATCAGAAGGACAATGTGGCTCATATTTCCCAGCAGTTATGGGCACATCATTGTATTTCTGGGTTGTAAATGAGTAAATGAGTAATTTACTGCTAATCTTATCTAAATGTACGGTTATAAAATGATATTGTCACAGTGTGTGTGTGTGTGTATGTATTAGTGCTGTCTAACGATTAATCGCGATTAATCGCATCCAAAATAAAAGTTTTTGTTTACATATGTGTCTGTGCTGTGTATATTTATGTACATATAAATACACACACACACATTCAGTATATATTAAAAAAATATATACATTTATTTACATGTATATATTTATACTAATATAACTTTTATATTTTATATAAATATATTTAATATATAAACATAACATATTTCTTAAATATGTATTATATTTATGTATAAATATGCATGTGTGTGTAATTATATATACAAAAATATACACCGTACATGCGCATATATTACGAAAACAAAAACTTTTATTTTGGTTGCGATTAATCGTACTATAAATATGTAATTTAAAAAAAAATATTTTTTTTACAATTTTTATATTTTTGGATTCTATTTAGTGAGGACAGGGCTAGTGTGTGTGTGTGTGTATGTATTAGTGCTGTCTAACGATTAATCGCGATTAATCGCATCCAAAATAAAAGTTTTTGTTTACATATGTGTCTGTGCTGTGTATATTTATGTACATATAAATACACACACACACATTCAGTATATATTTAAAAAATATATACATTTATTTACATGTATATATTTATACTAATATAACTTTTATATTTTATATAAATATATTTAATATATAAACATAACATATTTCTTAAATCATTCAATCTGCGTTTTCTTTTGCTGAACTCAGTGTTGCACTAATCTTATCTCAGGTCTTCCGCTCGCAGATCAATATGATGCAGTCATTTAAATTCTTAGATTTTACTCCCAAAGCAAAGGAATGTTATCATCTTTTTACAATCACACCGACTTTAGAAGTGATAGCGACCAGAAAGCGGGTTAACCTGAAGGTCACAGCACATTTTCTATGAACGCCTCCGTGTGTGACGAAACATGGTCCATGATTCCAATCAGCATCTGTAGAAACCCATTAGTCTGTGAACGTTCATGATGGCCTACAGTGGCCTATCACTGCCATCTCAAATGACATCTGTGTGCCCCAATCCAGGGATCTACACAGAGAATATGTGAGAGAACCTGTCTGGGTATGTCAGTTTTCACTCTGAAGCGTTGAAGACATGTTGGGTGCTATTTAAGAGAAGTTTCCACCGTTGCTTTAGAGCAGATGCTGGGCGGCAGGGAGGCAGAACTGTTTGTTCATGTGAGTCCTTGGAAGGTAAAGCATTTATTGACCTTTTATTTATTGTTCCCTCTGGTTGCTAGATGAAGTCTTCCCTTTGGATAAAACTCATTTTTTGGACCAATGAGAGACAGTCGTTCTGTGTATATATGTTATCAGAAGGACAATGTGGCTCATATTTCCCAGCAGTTATGGGCACATCATTGTATTTCTGGGTTGTAAATGAGTAAATGAGTAATTTACTGCTAATCTTATCTAAATGTACGGTTATAAAATGATATTGTCACAGTGTGTGTGTGTGTGTATGTATTAGTGCTGTCTAACGATTAATCGCGATTAATCGCATCCAAAATAAAAGTTTTTGTTTACATATGTGTCTGTGCTGTGTATATTTATGTACATATAAATACACACACACACATTCAGTATATATTTAAAAAATATATACATTTATTTACATGTATATATTTATACTAATATAACTTTTATATTTTATATAAATATATTTAATATATAAACATAACATATTTCTTAAATATGTATTATATTTATGTATAAATATGCATGTGTGTGTAATTATATATACAAAAATATACACCGTACATGCGCATATATTACGAAAACAAAAACTTTTATTTTGGTTGCGATTAATCGTACTATAAATATGTAATTAAAAAAAAAATTTTTTTTTTACAAGTTTTATATTTTTGGATTCTATTTAGTGAGGACAGGGCTAAGGTGATTTTTACACCTCTTTTCACTGCATTTGTTAATCTTTAACATTTGGTTCGTGAATAAACCGTGAATGTTTGCTGTAGTGTTTTCTGTAGTTCTTTATACCTCACAGCTTAATTTAGGAAGTTCTTTGTTTCCCCTCCTGTGTTTACACGGACTTCAGTCGGGACACAAATCTGTGATAAGAGCAGACTCTGCGTCCTCCATCTGTGTAGTCCGCTGTATAAATCCAGAAGTGTGTTTACAGCGTCAAAGCTCAAGCAGTGATGTATTCAATGGAGGTGACCGAGCGTTTCATGAAAGTTCATGTGAGGCAAGCATTACCTCACTGGTGCTGTTCCACCCCCTTCTGCGGCCACACCTCCAACATCAGACCATGTCAGCCAAGAGGGAAACAAACACATGGAGGAGGGAAAGAGGGAGACGGAAAATGATAAAGAAACAGAATTTGGAATAAACAGAAAATCAAATAACTCTGTTACCCATGTCTTATTAGCAGTGTTGGGCAAGTTAAATGTAATGCATTATATATTACTAGTTACTGTCTTTTGAAAGTAATTAGTTACATTACAATATTACTGTCTCTGAATTGTAACTTTCAGTTACTTTCACCAAAATATCCACATAAGTATTACAAAATGCCAAAATGTAGTTTATTACATTCATTCTACACCCAGTGGAGGGTAATGTGGTAGGTCTATATGGGATAAAATTATAAAATCATATTCAGATACCGGTATAGGTCTACATTAATGTTACGTTGTAACACAGATAAGCACAAACCGCATTATTACATTCATAAATAACACTGGTAAATAAAGCGAAATGTTATAATATACAAACAATAAACTCAATACCTCAATAATTCAGAAGAAAACATGAAAAATATAAGTTGCTATCAGAAGGACAATGTGGCTCATATTTCCCAGCAGTTATGGGCACATCATTGTATTTCTGGGTTGTAAATGAGTAAATGAGTAATTTACTGCTAATCTTATCTAAATGTACGGTTATAAAATGATATTGTCACAGTGTGTGTGTGTGTGTATGTATTAGTGCTGTCTAACGATTAATCGCGATTAATCGCATCCAAAATAAAAGTTTTTGTTTACATATGTGTCTGTGCTGTGTATATTTATGTACATATAAATACACACACACACATTCAGTATATATTAAAAAAATATATACATTTATTTACATGTATATATTTATACTAATATAACTTTTATATTTTATATAAATATATTTAATATATAAACATAACATATTTCTTAAATATGTATTATATTTATGTATAAATATGCATGTGTGTGTAATTATATATACAAAAATATACACCGTACATGCGCATATATTACGAAAACAAAAACTTTTATTTTGGTTGCGATTAATCGTACTATAAATATGTAATTAAAAAAAAAATTTTTTTTTTACAAGTTTTATATTTTTGGATTCTATTTAGTGAGGACAGGGCTAAGGTGATTTTTACACCTCTTTTCACTGCATTTGTTAATCTTTAACATTTGGTTCGTGAATAAACCGTGAATGTTTGCTGTAGTGTTTTCTGTAGTTCTTTATACCTCACAGCTTAATTTAGGAAGTTCTTTGTTTCCCCTCCTGTGTTTACACGGACTTCAGTCGGGACACAAATCTGTGATAAGAGCAGACTCTGCGTCCTCCATCTGTGTAGTCCGCTGTATAAATCCAGAAGTGTGTTTACAGCGTCAAAGCTCAAGCAGTGATGTATTCAATGGAGGTGACCGAGCGTTTCATGAAAGTTCATGTGAGGCAAGCATTACCTCACTGGTGCTGTTCCACCCCCTTCTGCGGCCACACCTCCAACATCAGACCATGTCAGCCAAGAGGGAAACAAACACATGGAGGAGGGAAAGAGGGAGACGGAAAATGATAAAGAAACAGAATTTGGAATAAACAGAAAATCAAATAACTCTGTTACCCATGTCTTATTAGCAGTGTTGGGCAAGTTAAATGTAATGCATTATATATTACTAGTTACTGTCTTTTGAAAGTAATTAGTTACATTACAATATTACTGTCTCTGAATTGTAACTTTCAGTTACTTTCACCAAAATATCCACATAAGTATTACAAAATGCCAAAATGTAGTTTATTACATTCATTCTACACCCAGTGGAGGGTAATGTGGTAGGTCTATATGGGATAAAATTATAAAATCATATTCAGATACCGGTATAGGTCTACATTAATGTTACGTTGTAACACAGATAAGCACAAACCGCATTATTACATTCATAAATAACACTGGTAAATAAAGCGAAATGTTATAATATACAAACAATAAACTCAATACCTCAATAATTCAGAAGAAAACATGAAAAATATAAGTTGCTAAACAAGCCAAAACGAATTAGGCTAATTCAATGCGAAACTGAAAGCAAACGGCGTTCTTGCGCAGCCTACCTCTCTCATTCGACATTAATCCAATTAAATGTGTCCATATTTGCGATGTATTTGAATGCTAAACTATTATTTATTATGTAAACCAAGCTTACTTAACGCACTTAAAAAAACATCCTCGTCACATGAACAAATGTGTGTTTGGCCCGAGGTCAGGCTGAATGGCACGGATTGCAACGTCCATTCCTTAACACTTAACTGCATTTTTTTTTCAACTGCGTTTAACTCCGTTATCCAGCTGCTGGTAATAAACCCAGTGTATAGATCAAGTACTGATTGAGGAATCACACTATCTGCATTCATGCATGTTTTGCTCCACGTGACATTACACTCTGAACTGACAACATCTCTGTTTCTGCCCTCACAGGTGTTTTTGTGTAGTCAAACGTGAAGCTGACGTCAGTGAAAATGCCGGAGACGGTGAAAGACAGAGTACTGGAGGTCTATGATAGCCTCTTAGCAGGAAGAGGTAAAAATGCATGTTACATTAAATGAATCTATAGTCAGTACTGAAATAATGTATTCTATTCAGACTAGTGGTCAAATGCTTTGCCTTTTTTTTTTTTTTTTTTCCTCTAATGGCCGATGATCTTGTGTTAGCCAGTATACCAGGGAGGCAAACTTGACACCTTACAACAAAAATAGCTGTTTTCAGTTCAAAAAGGGTCATTTGAGTTGTCAAAACAGTCTAGCTGAGGTTTTCCACCCAAATAAAAGCTCTATGATTTAATCATTGAAAGTGGAGAAATTAAGACAGAGGTTAATATTAGTTTTGTAAATTTACTGTTGTCCTGTAAAATAAAATGGTTATAATTATTACGTTTTATTTTACAGTATAATAGTATTATTATTAGTGCTGGACAATGATTAAACACGATTAATCGCATCCAAAATAAAAGTTTTTGTGTACATTAGTCCAGGTGATATGTTAAAAATTTGAGGTGATATGTTCACTTTTTCATAAAAGCATGAAACTTGGTACAGTTGTACAGGTTAGGACACTGAACATTTTTAGAAATGGAGCCATCGCAAAAAGGCCTTGTGGTTGCCATGGTGACCATTTTACTTTCCGCCATAACCAAATTATATATTTTGTGTCATATCTCCTGAACCAAACATGGTAACACAGAAAAGGTGACGTCTACCCTATTTTTTTGATGGTCAAGTATTACAATGATACCACATACAACAACATAAACTGTTCAGGTGAAGAGTTAATGGTGAAATCAACAGTGTGAGAAGGAAATAACCGTATCTGAGCATCATAGTATCACAGCATTTTTTCTTTCTTTGATAATTAACTAATATTTTATTCAATAGTAAAATAAAAGATTGCTTTAATTATTAATTTGTTACATTTATATAGCGCTTTGGGTATGCTTTTTGGGTACTTGTGGGGAGAAGAATTTATTGAAGATGGTAGTGTAGCAGTTCTTCAATAGCGATGTTAGCATGTCTTCCTTCAAAAAAGTTTACCCTTGTATGAATCCTAGCTTCTCCCAAAGTTTTGTCTGTGGGATATAATTTTATACCTGAAGACAAAAGGGCTAGAAACAATACTGTTAGGACCTTCCCGCTGGAGATCCTACAATCTACAAGACGTTCCTGAGAAATGCTGTTCCTTTGTTATTTTAATGGAATGGACCATTTGGTTCACACCTTTATAGACACCGTTGCATTATTTCTTTCACAGAATGACCAACTGAACTTTAACCAATCAGGTTTCAGCAGCAGCCATTCAACTGAGACTGCTTTGCTGTCGGTCACTGTAGCCCCGCAGGTAGGGCTACATCTGAATCATCAGATTATCCTGTCTACCATCACAGGATCTACACTCCACTGGTTTGAATCTTATCTCACAAGTAGGTCTTTCAGGGTTTCCTGGGGAGGAGAGGTATCCAAAGAACATCAACTGGCCACAGGGTTTCTTTGGGAATCAGTTCTTGGACCCCTCTTCTTCACCATATACACTACATCACTGGGACCCATTATACAAGCACATGGTTTCTCCTACCATTGCTATGCTGATGACACACAGCTCTATCATTAATTTCAACCAGACAATCCAATAGTAGCTGCATGGATCTCAGACTGCCTGGCAAACATCGCGGCATGGATGAAGGAACATCACCTGCAGCTCAAACTGAGCTTCTTGTTTTCCCTGCTACTTCGACTCTACAGCATGATTTCATCATCCTGCTAGGTTCGTCAAAAGTTATTCTTTGGAGACATTTATGTTTGCGTACAGAACAGCCACAGGCTCAGCACCCTCCTACTTCCTCCTCACTCTTACGAATCTACATCCCCTCTAGAAGCCTGAGATCTGTAAGCGATGCCTTGTGGTAACATTACAGATAGGCATTTTCGTTCACCTTTCCTGGCTGGTGAAATGATCTTCCCACAATCGCACTAATTAACTTGAACACGTTATCTGACAGCAACACTAATTTAATCCCATACCCAACCCATTTGACCTAAAAACTGGGACCCGAACCACACCTGCATTAAATCTCCTACATGAGGTAGACAAAACTCATTTATTAAAACTTTTATTCAAATTGTGAATAGATTAAATACAGAAAGCAAGCAAAGAGCGCTACCTTTAATATAATCACTACAGCTGTCAATCAATGGCAGCGTGATTGGCTACATTGCTCAGCGTGTACTGGACCGAGTCGAAATAGTCTTGGTTATTGGACTCGCACCCCGCCCGTGCTTGTCACCGTCCGGCCTGCACCACACCCTACACATAAATATTATTCCACCCATTACATCAAATATTAGCGATTCACCTGCATGTACCCGCCCACATGCAGGACTTTGGCTTGCCCCTTGTGGACAACATAATAGACAACTCTGGCTCCAGAGAGTGATTTGTAAATTAGGTCAGTTGTACAGGTTAGGACACTGAACATTTTTAGAAATGGAGCCATCGCAAAAAGGCCTTGTGGTTGCCATGGTGACCATTTTACTTTCCGCCATAACCAAATTATATATTTTGTGTCATATCTCCTGAACCAAACATGGTAACACAGAAAAGGTGACGTCTACCCTATTTTTTTGATGGTCAAGTATTACAATGATACCACATACAACAACATAAACTGTTCAGGTGAAGAGTTAATGGTGAAATCAACAGTGTGAGAAGGAAATAACCGTATCTGAGCATCATAGTATCACAGCATTTTTTCTTTCTTTGATAATTAACTAATATTTTATTCAATAGTAAAATAAAAGATTGCTTTAATTATTAATTTGTTACATTTATATAGCGCTTTGGGTATGCTTTTTGGGTACTTGTGGGGAGAAGAATTTATTGAAGATGGTAGTGTAGCAGTTCTTCAATAGCGATGTTAGCATGTCTTCCTTCAAACAAGTTTACCCTTGTATGAATCCTAGCTTCTCCCAAAGTTTTGTCTGTGGGATATAATTTTATACCTGAAGACAAAAGGGCTAGAAACAATACTGTTAGGACCTTCCCGCTGGAGATCCTACAATCTACAAGACGTTCCTGAGAAATGCTGTTCCTTTGTTATTTTAATGGAATGGACCATTTGGTTCACACCTTTATAGACACCGTTGCATTATTTCTTTCACAGAATGACCAACTGAACTTTAACCAATCAGGTTTCAGCAGCAGCCATTCAACTGAGACTGCTTTGCTGTCGGTCACTGTAGCCCCGCAGGTAGGGCTACATCTGAATCATCAGATTATCCTGTCTACCATCACAGGATCTACACTCCACTGGTTTGAATCTTATCTCACAAGTAGGTCTTTCAGGGTTTCCTGGGGAGGAGAGGTATCCAAAGAACATCAACTGGCCACAGGGTTTCTTTGGGAATCAGTTCTTGGACCCCTCTTCTTCACCATATACACTACATCACTGGGACCCATTATACAAGCACATGGTTTCTCCTACCATTGCTATGCTGATGACACACAGCTCTATCATTAATTTCAACCAGACAATCCAATAGTAGCTGCATGGATCTCAGACTGCCTGGCAAACATCGCGGCATGGATGAAGGAACATCACCTGCAGCTCAAACTGAGCTTCTTGTTTTCCCTGCTACTTCGACTCTACAGCATGATTTCATCATCCTGCTAGGTTCGTCAAAAGTTATTCTTTGGTGACCAGCTGTCCTTCAAGGACCATATTGTAAAGACAGCTTGATCATGCAGGTTTGCATTGCACAACACCAGGAGTATCAGGCCCTTCCAAACAGAGCATGCTGCATAACTTCTTGCCCAGGCCCTTGTCATTTCTAGGCTGGACTATTGCAATGGTCTTCTAGCTGGACTTCCATCATGCACAATCAAACCTCGACAAATGATTCAGAATGCAGTGGCACGACTGGTCTTCCATGAGCCCAAAAGAGCCCATGTCACACCTGTCTTTATCTCCCTGCACTGGCTACCGGTTGCAGCTCGCATCAAGTTCAAGACATTGATGTTTGCGTACAGAACAGCCACAGGCTCAGCACCCTCCTACTTCCTCCTCACTCTTACGAATCTACATCCCCTCTAGAAGCCTGAGATCTGTAAGCGATGCCTTGTGGTAACATTACAGATAGGCATTTTCGTTCACCTTTCCTGGCTGGTGAAATGATCTTCCCACAATCGCACTAATTAACTTGAACACGTTATCTGACAGCAACACTAATTTAATCCCATACCCAACCCATTTGACCTAAAAACTGGGACCCGAACCACACCTGCATTAAATCTCCTACATGAGGTAGACAAAACTCATTTATTAAAACTTTTATTCAAATTGTGAATAGATTAAATACAGAAAGCAAGCAAAGAGCGCTACCTTTAATATAATCACTACAGCTGTCAATCAATGGCAGCGTGATTGGCTACATTGCTCAGCGTGTACTGGACCGAGTCGAAATAGTCTTGGTTATTGGACTCGCAACCCGCCCGTGCTTGTCACCGTCCGGCCTGCACCACACCCTACACATAAATATTATTCCACCCATTACATCAAATATTAGCGATTCACCTGCATGTACCCGCCCACATGCAGGACTTTGGCTTGCCCCTTGTGGACAACATAATAGACAACTCTGGCTCCAGAGAGTGATTTGTAAATTAGGTTTACATAATATATGTTTGAAATTTCATTCAGCATCTTCTGAGATTTCATTGTAATCCTTCTCATAAAGTCACTGAATTAATTATTAACTGTTCACCTGATTGCGTTGCCATCTGCGTGTGATGTTAGAGCATTGTTGAGAGAGAATAAGAATGTATTGGAAACAAACTACCACCTACCTGACTCTGTGACACTGTGATACTGTGATGCTCAGATGCTGTTATTTCATTCTCACATTGCTGAATTCACCATTAACGCTTCACCTGAACAGTTTGTTTTTGTATGTGGTAGGGATGCACGATATATCGGCCACCATATCGGTATCGGCCCATATCGGCTCATTTTTTCTGTTATCGGTATCGGCCTGATAAGAAAATTTGGCCGATATCTTAAAGCCGATAAATAATGCATTATTTCCTTCAGAGACACTTCAGATGCGCGCTGTTCGTTTGCAGCCTTTTGTGCAATTGTACGTTGTAATATTGTGTTTATTTGATGTATATCTGATTTATCTCATATAGAATGCGTTTGGTTAAGTTAAAAGAGCGCTTCAGTTTACCGGTGATCGTCTTTAGCTCAGCGCACGCAGCTCAAACAGCAGTGCACAACATTAATAACTATGATTGGGAATGTTGTGTATATAACATTCTAATGAGAACATTATTATAATAAAACGTTGTGAATTCTTTGGGTTTAGTTGCCGTGTTTCAGCGCGTTGTTATGGGAAGAGCGCATCCACAACAGGATCACACATTCTGACTATAGCACGCAATAACTGCGTCATTTTGTACATATATAAGTTGTAATATTATGTTTATGTTGTATTAATATTAATGTCAGGATGCATTTCCTTGAGTTAAATAAGCTGCCAGCAAAACGCTTCAGTTTACCGTGTTCATTCAGCTCTTCAGCTTCAGCTTGAGCTGCAGCTCAATGGCTGCTATTTAAAACAGTGGTATTAATTTGTTACTTTTTCAAAATCATTGATATATTATTAATAACAACAACCACTTGTATTTTTCTCTTATTATTTTCATCAACAATATGGTTTAGTAATTAAAATCATTTAATTATTGTCCGTGCAGAGGCTATTCCGTTTTATTGATCTATGGCACATTCATTTTGATTCTTTACACGTGTAATGATGTCCAGTGACTTGTTTGCATTATTTATGCATCATTTTATTTATTTGTAAGACTTTTTTATGACTAAATTTGGTAATGGGAGAGTAAAAATATTTTTAAAACGTACACCGTTCAAACTAGGCTGCTTATGTTGAAGTGTTCGGGATGTGGCTTTTAATGATGAGACCTTTTTTGTAATCAGGCTCTCAAAAAGTATATAACAATTTGGATATAGATTTATCGGCCAACATATCGGTTATCGGCTTTCAAAAATAAAGTAATCGGTTATCGGTATCGGCCAAAATTTTCATATCGGTGCATCCCTAGTATGTGGTATCATTGTAATACTTGACCATCAAAACATAGGGGTAGACATCACCTTTTCTGTGTTATCATGTTTGGTTCAGGAGCTATGACACAAAATATATAATTTGGTTATGGTTGAAAGTAAAATGGTCACCATGGCAACCACAAGGTGTTTTTGCGATCGCTCCATTTCTGAAAATGTTTAGGGCCGCAAACTATACCAGTGTACCAAGTTTCATGCTTTTATGAAAAAATTAACATTATTTTCACACATCACCTGGACTACATAGTATATGTGTGTGCATTGTGCATATTTATGATATATATATAAATACACACACATGCATGTATATATTTAAGAAACATTTTATGTTTATATATGAAATGTTTATATATAAAATAAATTATATTAATATAAATATATACATGTAAAAATTTTCTAAATATATATACATAATAAATATACACAGTGCACACACATATATTATGTTCACAAAAACTTTTATTTTGGATGCGATTAATCGCGATTAATCGTTGCCCAGCACTAATTATTATCAGAGTAATGTTTGTTATAATTTATTAATTAAATATTATATATGATGTATAAATGTGTGTGTATATATAAAATAAAAACTACATAGGGTCTAGGGTGAGTTTTTCCCTATTACCTCAAGCTAAAATCTATTGCTGCTGCTTAATACGGAATGATTTTGTAAAGCGGCTGCTTTAATCGGACTGGTCAGTATAGTGTATTTCTCCATCACTAATTCATAACAGTCAGATCTGTGTGGGAAACTGCTATCAGTTATAATAAATGAATAAAATATAGAAGATTTTAAGTCATTTTAGCTGTTACTACATGTCAAAGTGCTGTGTTTTGTGTTCCTCTCTCTTTCTAGACCCACGGGTGAAGGACTACCTCCTAATGGGGAGTCCAGTCAGTATGACTGCTGTTCTACTTGCTTATCTTTTCTTCGCTCTGTACGCTGGCCCTAGGTTTATGGCCAACCGCAAACCCTTCCAGCTGAAAGAAGCTATGATCATCTACAACCTGTCCTTGGTTGGCCTGTCTGTATATATCGTATATGAGGTGAGAATCAGGAGATGTTGGTTCTGTTAGGTGGTGTGACTCTGGCTAATGTGTTTGAACTGTTTGTCTGCAGTGACTCAGAGTGAGGTGTGTTATATTTTTATTCATTATGGAGACACTATTCTGGTTTTGAGTTGCTCCTCAAAACCAGTTCCCGAATCTAAATTCATATATTGGTTGCTTTGACTTGACGTGTAGTTCTTGATGTCGGGTTGGGCGACAGGATACACGTGGAGATGTGACCCATGTGATTATTCAAACAGCCCTCAAGGACTCCGAGTAAGATTTGCTTTCCGTTTCTTGTAATATACTCAAATATTACCGTAGTTTGTGCACAAATAATCAAATCGGGGCGTATTAAAGATGTCTTTTTTTTCCCAGATGGCAAGAGTTTCCTGGTTATTCCTGTTTTCAAAGTTCATCGAGCTTATGGATACGGTAAGATTAGAATAAAACGGCTGATTTGAAACAGATTGGTTCATGAAGTGATGAATGCTGCTCTCGTCCTGTTCAGGTGTTTTTTGTGCTGCGTAAGAAACACAGTCAGATCACCTTCCTGCACATCTTCCACCATTCCTTCATGCCCTGGACATGGTGGTGGGGCGCGAGCTACGCACCAGGTGAGTCGATCAGAGTCAGTCAGCAGGTTTTTACATGATCGGCACGTGCCGTCTCAGTGACGTCAACCTGACCAATTTCTCTTCCAGTCAGAGATGGGTTTGCTGTTCCACAACCCAAGAGATTTTGCATGTGCTAATGTTTCTTGTAAATAAAGCTCTTGGTGTTGATGGTCATTGGAGTCTTTTGTTAAACTGCCTACAGCATGATCAAATATTATCGTACTTTTTTTCCATATACAGTATCAGTTTTTATAATGATATTAATTTATCATTAATGAGGAAGGAAATGCTTTCCACGTTTGTTAGATCTTGAGAATGAACGACAAATTAGGTTTTATTTTCAACTGAATTCAGTTTTTTCCATTTTATGTTTTTACTGATTCTGTGTTTTATGATTTATTACAAATGTATCATTTAAAAACTGTTTAATGAACTGAACGGTTTAAAGAATCTTTTAAAACTGAATCAAATGAAAGTATAACAATTTCCAACAAAACATTGGATTCTAATTTTTTTCAGGCAAGATGCTGCACAACTGAATTGTATGCATTAACATTAATGAAAAAATATCTTGGTTTTATGATATTCCTTAACAATAATAATATTATTAGTACTTATTTGAGAAGTAAATTTTAGTATACAGTGTAAATATACTTCTGTCATAATTTCTTCAAGTTAAACTGAACTTTTATTTTGAAGGGTTGTCATGAAGATCTTAGAGTTTTAGTGTTTGATGGTAGTTTTTATCAAATGAAATGATGAAAAGCTGGTGAAGTGACTCTCCGAGCAGCTCTGGAGATGAAGTTTGTGTGTTCATGTCTCATGTATTGAGACGCAATGCTGAAAGCACTGAGCATCGTGTGTGTTTGAGTTTGTGTAGTAAATGAAACTACACCATTCATTCACACAGAGACACACAGAACATGCAGACTTAGACACATGCACTGACTGACAGTTGTCGTGTTTATTTCTGCTGTGATCAGCTGTTAGATTAATACAGCTTATCATCATTAATGTCATAAACTTGATATGATGTTATCACCATATGTGACTTTAAGACTTGCTGTAATGCTTCTTGCAGGTGGAATGGGCTCCTTCCATGCCATGATCAACTCTTGTGTCCATGTGATCATGTACTTCTACTACGGCCTTTCTGCTGCAGGACCTCGCTTCCAGAAGTTCCTCTGGTGGAAGAAATACATGACTGCAATTCAGCTGGTATGTTCATTTCGTCTGTAGAGCAGTATAAATCTCACCCATGATAATGGTGAAGGGATAGTGCAGCCAAAAATGTCTTTATTTACTCGCCCTTATGTTGTTCCAAACCCATTTTCTTTTGCACAAAACGCCAAAATGAACAATCTTCAAAATGCAGCGACTGTTGTAAGTGACCATAGCTGTCAGGCTCTGTATATATATGTTAGTGCTGTCAAACGATTAATCACATCCAAAATAAAGGTTTGTGTTTGCATAATATACATGTGTGTTCTGTGTATATTTATTATGTATATTTAAATACACACACACACACAGTATATGTTTTGAAAATATTTGCATGTATTTACATGTCTATATATATATTCCTATCATTTATATTATATATAAATATATTTAATATATAAACATATATTTTTTCTGAAATATGTACATGCATGTGTGTGTATTTATATATACATAATAAATATATACAGTACACATACATATATTATGTCAACAAAATCTTTTATTTTGGGATGCGATTAATTGCGATTAATCGTTTGACAGCACACACACATATATATTTACATTGTCATTTAGCAGACGCTTTTATCCATATATATATATATATATATATATATTGTTGACGTGACATGGCATTTTCACTGTCCCACAAGATAAAAATGAGTATAATTAATATTGTACTTATTTAAAATGCAGTAAATCATTAAACATTTCTTTGTCCTACATAGACCTGTTGTTATAAAAGCTGCAGTGTTATTAGATTTTTTCCATTTTTGAGCCAAATCTCAAAATTGTCCTATGGTGTGACTGTCTCAAGCATGGTTCAATAAATTACAACTTTTATAAATGTTGAAGGACCCCTTTCATGATTATGTTACTGAAGCCCCCTGTGAAGCCCATGACACGTGCACATGGTCAATTTTTCTCTCAGAATAGTTCAAATATTTAACTTTTTTTAGAACCACTACAAAAGTGTTACGTTTTGTTGTCCTTTGGTGTGACACCTCTAAATTATATATTTTTTAATTAAAAACTGTTAAACTACATAATCATGGAAAATTATGCAAATGTGTCTTGCTAATGAAAGGTTAGCTTAGAATAACAAGGTCATTAATTGACAGTAAAAGGCTGAAACGTCCTGTGGTGTGACAGAAAATGTCCTCCGGCGTGACGCCTGTACTATCACACCACAGGACAAAGATGCCACACCACAGGACAAGGTCTGTTTTAGAAGCATTTTAAATAATTAAATAAGATAATTAATTAAATAATTAAGATAAGATAAATAATGGGGGGGGCGAGAAGAGTTTCCGTAACATACTGATTGACTTAGAGACTGAATTTTGTTGACGATAAACAATTTTTTTTGTTTTGTTTAAAAAAAACATGTTGATATTGTTTGTATCAAAATGAAACTTTCTTTCTCCTTTGACATGTTCAAAATTAAATAAATAACTTAATAACTACCATTTCCGTCCTTTAGTGTGACGTAATGTCCTATGGTGTTACACCATTTATCTCAAAATATCTTTAAAAAACAGTTGAGTATTGCAATAGGGGAGATGCAAATATCACTCAACTAAAAATGGTATAATTTTCAGCAGTTTTGAACGAATGACAGCAAAGTTTGTCTTGTTGTCAAAGTTTGTCTTGAAATTGTCCAACAAGTCATGGGGGGAAAATTGTTAATTATACTTTCATATTAAATAAATAGCACTATATGAAAATAAGTGTTTAACAATGAATAGAAATCTCTCTCATGCAATTTGTATTAAGAGTTTTTTTTCCCCTTAATTTTTGCTATGTCACACCAAATTAATGGTACAGTTCAGTAAAAATGTTAAAGCAGTGAAAGAATTGACGAAGTTAGTGACCCTTTATATTTTCTCAAAGATCAGACTTCACACTGCATAAATATATGCATTTCTTTTTCAAAAAAGGTCTTTTACAAAAAAAGCATTTTTTTCTGCCTATTTGTCAACTACCCATATATCGACTTCAGATGCAAAAACCTCTTCAGTCCATCTAAGATTTTTCTTTTATCTCGCTCCTATGAAAATAACATTGGACATTTTTTTTAAATAAGGCATTCACAAACTAATAACCTTTTCTTTGCCATTACATTGAAATTGCTGAACCTAAACAAAGGAGCCTGATAAAAATGCTCATTTAAAAAAAAAAATTTAAAGTTTTTTCAACCAGTGAACTATATTTCAAGACTTCTGAAGTTGAGAAGCAAATTGAAATGTAAGTCATTATTCATAGATATAATCCAATCAAGTGAGCTGTTAAATTTAAATCTTTGTCTTAAATTTTGGTCTGTTTAGTATGTATTATAAATAAATTATTATACTAAATTTAATTTTATCAATATTTATTATACAATTTTATTTTACAATGAAATTAGATGTAAATTATATTTCCTACAGACGCTACAGCAAAAGAAATAACGGACTTAAAACCATTTTTAGCTGGTAAAAATACTAGTGCTCTAATCATATTTGCCACCACTTTATGTATGTGTGTGTGTGTGTGTGTGTGTGTGTGTTTATTTATATATATATATATATATATATATATTACATTTAGTAATTAATTACATTTAGTTATGAATAATTAAAGGACTGTGTATTCCAGACACTTAGACCTTCTTACTCTTCATTACAGACTCAGTTTGTGTTAGTGTCTCTTCACGCAACCCAGTGGTACTTCATGGAGAGCTGCGGCTACCAGGTGCCTCTGTTCATCCACCTCATCTGGATGTACGGGACCTTCTTCTTCGTGCTGTTCTCTAACTTCTGGTACCAGGCGTACGTGAAGGGCAAGAGGCTACCAAAGGACACCCAACAGCTCGCCCAGAACGGCACGGCCAACGGATCTACCAGAGTTGCCAACGGCTCATCGGTGGTTTCAAACGGCCACGGCGTGCACGAAAACGGCCTGAGCAACGGGAAGAAACACCACGAGAATGGAAGCACTCTCAACGGCAAGATGAAGAAAGCCTGAGAGCTCAGGAAGAGAAGACCCAAAACGGATGACCAGGAGAACCTGCACCAAGCCCTATGGAGTCCAAAGAGTGTTTTGGGACTTTTCGTTTTCAAATCTTGTGTTTTTGTTTTTTAATATGTACATTAAATAAGTACATGGGGATATGAATCCGTTTGACCCCGTTTGTATATTTTTTTTGTCATAAATTAATCTAAAGAATAATTATTGAGCACAATGTATGAAGAGAAGAGGAATAGTATTGACTGGATCCATCCTCTGCTGATGTTGCTCATGACGTTCATCTCAACAGAATGAATCCACAGATGGGCACAGACACACACACACACACCCATGTGTGTTTCATACTTCTCCAATAGCAGACACTGTACAGTCAACATCAGTAAACTTGAATTACACCTGTAAATAGTTTTACCTTATAAACTAATGGGATTGATACGGTAAAAAATAGTTACTCTTGAATCAAATACAAAAAATAAATTCCATTTTAAAATACAGAGTGATCCGTTTATTTCACATGTTATGCGGTTTGATGGCACATTGTAGTTCCTTCTTGGAATAAAACCTGTGCAAGTCATTTGACCTACAATTCCAGCTGAAATTTGCACGTGGCATCGCCAATGCAAATGCTTAACATATTAAAATACTTTTTAATCATTTACAAGAATGCAAGAGTAGCTCTGCTTCTTCGCTCTTGTCGTTTCTCGTGTTTTGGGTTCAGTCGGTCAGCTTTCATCGGATTCACTTTATGAAGAAACGCAGTGTGTGCATGCCGTATTACTCCTTCATAATCTGCATTTGTCATCTCAAGTATGTGCAGCATGTTGAGTGTAAACAAAAAGTCCATTCAGTTCCTGAAAAGCAACAGAGGAAGACCAGATGAGCAAGCATCCTACGCTGTGTGTGTGTGTGTGTGTGTGTGAGGGAGGTCAGAAGACCGTTCAACGAGGTCGCGTAGGAACAAATGAACTTCGAGCTCACAGTGCACGAGAGTTTGTGCATATAATTCTCGCTCCTGTTTATCCAAGCGTCGTCTTTGTTTGTTTGGCTGAATTCCTAGCGCCTTTTTTTCCAGGCAGGTGTGCGTTAATGTAGGGCAGAGGTCAGGGCGCTCCTCTCGGCAAGCTGGGAGAACGGTGTTACATGGGATTTGTACAGTGACTCTATCAGCAAGTACAACGGAGATCGCCAAGGCTACAATGAGTTCTACATGTGGAAGACTAGAAGAAACGGAGTCTCTCTCCAATATCACATCATGCTCCTAAATCTCATTCACTCTGGAATTTCATGTTGTACTTTGGTCCTCATTTGTCAGCATGTTTCAGGCCTCAAGTTTCAAATCCTGTTTCTGACCGAGCTGAGGTCTACAGAAAGAGTCCAGACTACAGTACAAACTACAGACAGCTACGTCAATTTGTCACAGATGAGCCTTTGGCCATGACTAGTGGTCGACCGATAATGGGTTTTGTGGTATCGGAATATTGAAAACGTTAACATTTAAGTTCTTGTGAATGCGTAACTTTAACTTAACCCTCTGAAATGCAGTACTGACTTTGATGAGTCAGTAAGTATACTGGTTAATGTAAGAATTCAAATTCATATCCTGTCTTGTGTCTGGCTCTGTTTTTTAGTGTAGTCACAGCACAACAAGCCAAGCATTCTCCACGGGAGGCTTTGGTCGATCTCTAGAAAATCTGGAAGCCTATTTCTGCCTCGGAGTTTAAAAAAAGTAATTAAGTAGAACAATTTTAAAATAATAAGAAAAAAAAATTGGAAAAATGAATTTGCAATAATGAGGTATTGTACGGTCTCAGTTATGAGAAATAAATCAATTATACGAAACGGTCACAAGTGAGAGACATGAAGTCACAGTTGCGAGAAATAATCGTAATTGTTAGACACAAGGTTGCAGTTACATCAATTTTGCGATTGAGAAGTAATTGCACTTACGAAAATCACAGTTGTGAGATATGAAGTTTAGATTCTAAGAAATAAAGTTGCATTTAAATGATTAAATTACTAGAATGTTTCAACTGTGAGATATAGTCATAATTAACACTGCTCTGAGGTGGAAATAAAATCATAATTATGAGTAAAAAAACAAATAGTCAAAATAGCGAGATATGAGGTTGCAGTTAAATAGAAATACAGTTAAATGTTATTTTTTTACTCTGGTGGAAATATAGTATTTATTAGTAATAAAAAGTAGCAATTACGAGATTCAAAGTCGTAATTATAAGAAATGGTTTTACAAGAATTAAAGAACTCGCAAAATAGCCGAAATTACAAGTCACATTTGACCCTTTGCAAAGACCTGCCCACCTTCGTTACTGTTGCTATGTCCAACAAGCCATGGTACCCTCACACCACACCTCATGTTCTCACGCAGTGAAAAATACATGGCAGAGCAAAGAGGAAACTGACAACAGACAAAACAGAGCAGGTTACTTTTACTATGAAACAAAGTCTCAGCTTTCTAAATTTGTCATTTTTTAAAGAAATTCAAACAATAAATACTGTTTTGTGGCTCTTTAATGTGTCGTGACAGATCGCTGTAGACCCTCAGTTCAAGTGGCACGTGAACCGATCGTCTCATCCTCTTTACTAGTTATAGCGTGAAATGAACATCAGAAGGTATCTTGTTTTAACTGTAGAAAGACATCAATACACCATGGTGGTGTATCGGACTTTAACTTAAAAAACGGTGAATTGACGTCTTTCCGTGGTTGAAACAAGATGCCTTCTGATGTTCATTCATGTTTATTTTGCACTATATCTAGTAAAGAGGAAGAGACGATCGTTTCACATGCTGCTTGAACTGAGGCAATACACCAATCTGTCACAACACATTAAAGAGCCACAAAACTGCATTTATTGTTTGAATTTCATACAAAATGACAACATTTGAAAGCTGAGACTTTGTTTCATACCAAAAGTAACCTGCTCTGTCTTATCTGTCGGCGCATTATCACGGTCTTCTTTGCTCTGTGATGTATTTTTCACTGCGTGAGAACATGAGATTGCCATGGCTTGTCGGACCTAGCAACAGTAAGTAAGGGGGGGCGGGTCTTTGCGAAGGGTCAATTGTGAGATATAAAGTTACAATTATGAGAAATAGCCGCAATTCCAAGAAAGCTGCAACTGCGAGATATAAACTCACAATTAAGAGAAATAGTTGCAATAGCAAGATGAGGTTAACGTTGCAATAACAAGTAATAAAAAGTGACGAATTATAAGAAGTCACAATTGTGAGAAATAGTCACAATATTGAAATATGATGCTGCAATTACAAGAAAGTTATAGTGAGACAAGAAGTGCAACTGAGAGAAACGGTCGCATTTTGTGTCCAAATTGTGAGATATAAAGTTTTACGAGAAATCAATTACTAGAAATCATTGCAATAGCGAGGTATGAGGTTGCAATTATGAGTAATAGCGTGAATTATGTTTTTATAACTCTGAGGCAGAAATGGGCTTCCACAAGTGTTCATTTTTGCTATTATTCAATAGTTCCAAGAGCTGTTACTGGTGTCGATTGATCAGCTAAAATGATACATCGGTCGGCCTCTAGTGATGACTGAGAGATATTAATAGTTTAGGTAAGTCATCTGATGTTGTAAGCCCAGACCCTTTCACAGTGAGCAGTAGGGTATTGACTAAAATACTAAAATAAGCTGCCGCATGGGGACGGCTACTACATTCCACTCTCAAATGATACTGAACTCAAAGGTTTTTTGCTCGTGAGGTTTCTGGGAGTGTTGGCACATGTGACAGTGGGTGGTCCGTCTCTACGATGTGTCCTCCAGAATATAGAAGATGAGCTCCAGCTGGCAGGTGGCGAGACCCTGGTAATGAGAGTTACTCTGCACCACGGACGTTAATGATTGGTTAAGACATTCCTGGTACGGAGCTGGAAGGCGCTGCCCGTTACTGCCTGCCAAGAACTCCATCTGAAAGATTAAAGAAATGATGATAAGAAAACTTTTGTCCTTCGGTGTCTTGACCTTTGCTCAAAACCCCAGACATTTCATCAAAATACAGCACTAATAGTAAAGCAGAAGATTGGCATCACTGGGAAGAAAGTCACGCAGATCACACTCACATGCTACACTCCTGACACAATACTGAACTACAGTGATTACAACAACTGAAAGTCTACATGTTACATCTGAGATCCAATCTGAAATGAAGAATACAGTTCTGGAATACAAAAATCTAGCAGCCTTGAAAAAGTCAATAGATGAGGTACAGAACATGTGATAAGGAATAAAGAGTTTTTGTTTTTTTTAAAAGGACACCGGTAGAAAATGTGTAAATATACTTTTAACTAAATCACATATATATATATATATATATATATATATATATATATATATATAGAGAGAGAGAAAACTAATAGAAAAAAAA